ACTCTGACCAATGTGCTCTGGGATGCCCCTGCTTGAGCAGGGAGGTTGGGCCAGGTGACCCACTGTTCATCTGACCCATTGTGTGATTCTGCATATCACTAAAGCAGGCAATTCCACTCCTTTCCCTAGCCCCATGTCCTCCTTCTTGCCCTGCAGTAATTACAACTGTATCTCCATATAATATGAGAAATTCTTTTCTGATCTGATGGCAATTACTTCAGTCTTTTAGTCTTCCTGTGGATAAGATGAAAGCCACAGATCACTCAGTGGCTTCAAAATTGTCAAATCCTACACAAGACAAGAAATAGAGGCATATGTCATCTAAGAATAAGATCACCCTCTCCTGCAGGAACTGCCTTGTAGCAGATAGGAATAGGGTGAGACTTTTCCTTAGCCTCTTTTCATCCCTTTGAAAGTCCTGGGATGGAAATGACATTTTGCCTGTTACTATTTAGAACTAAGATGAAAATAAAATACACTGTTGATGAAAAACCTACATAATTGCTAAGGAACAAAACAACAATAAATCTCAACAACTCAAAGTTATCTTGCAAATTTAGGCTATTTTAATTTTTAGATATGTGTGAAATGTATTACTTTTATATTCTTGATATAATATTGTATTGGTTTGATTCTGCATCTTTAGTTGATGGTTTCTGCAGGTGCACCAAGCTTGTTTATATGAAGATCTTCATTCCACAGAGCTTTTAAACTCAGTGCCCTTCCTTAAATTGGCAGGTAGGAGTGGAAGAAGCAGTTGGCACAATTCCTCTGAGGGGCAGGGAGTCCTCCATGCTCAGGAGATAGAGTGTCTTGGCTGTGCAGATTACAGGTGTGATGCCACTTATGTAATAAGGGGAATTAACATGAATGTACAGTTGACTTCTGTGTAAGGAGACAAGATGAAAAGCTAAAAGGTACAGCGGACATAGGCAAAAGAAATTGAGCTCTCATGTAATTTTAGTACCAGGAATCAAAAGGGAGCAGGTAGTGACAGTTAAGTGTGTAGATAAATGATACAGAAAAAAAAAAAAAAGTGAGAGCAGAGGAAAAAAATGTTCGGTGACATGTGAAAACATTATGGGCAACACAGGAGGTTATGCAAATTCTGAAGAAAAGTGGATTTTTAGGTCAACTTTAAGAATATTTACCAAAAAATTTTTAGTAGGAGGTACAATTTTCATTATTTGCTCCATATGTTTTCAATATGTGAGTCATAATCATGTATTTGATCCAATCAGTGTAAGATAGCCTCGGAAATAATGAAAATAATAGATTAAATTTCTCTTACCCCATAAGCTTTGAATATTTGGGACCCAGGAACTCTGATCCTTGAAGTCTCTGGCAAAACTTAGGTTGACTAGTGAAAGATCAGACTGCATTAGCTAAGTATTGAAGCATTCTTTTAAAAAAAACAAACAGTTATTGTGTTGTCCATCTCTATACCTGCAACAGATTAGGAAGGGTTAACTGCAGAAGTGTTTTCTTCTATGTTTTGCATAGGTAAAGGTCAACACTGAAATGAAAACCAAATTACAATAACCTACTCCTAGTGAAATTTACCCTCTCTGGGAATTAGGGCCTTTCCTTAGTTGGGATTACTGAATTACATAAGAAGAAGGTACTGATATTCATATATTCTTTCTGGGAGTCTGATATAGTGTTTGTTTTCTTACTGTGCTTATGGGACCCATTCTCTAATCCCTATAGCATTATCACTATACAAAACATCTCTGCAAGCCAGGTTACCAAGGAATGAGGAAAGGGAAAAAACCCAACAAAGCACAGGAATAATTCTCCAGATACCTTATTCCCATGATGACAAGGAGCTAAGAAAAAATGTTTATGTATATATTAAGCATTGCATGACACATTTTAAAAAACAAAGATGTGACAACAGTGATAAAAGACACCTTTGGTAGTCCTGTAAGAATAAACTCAAAGTGAATTCCGGGATGGGGGATTCTGCCCACAAGTTTCAGCTGTATCATAAAGCTTTAGTTACTTACACACCCAGTTAAGATTGAATAGGTAGTAATTAAGTCATGCTCTATTTATATGCAGGACAAACTGTCCCTTGCTTTTCATGCCTACTATCCTCAGGAATAGGATTTGCAGCATACATGAAGTTATCTCAGTAAACAATACTTCAGTGAAAAAACATAGTGGGTAACTTGTTTTTAATGTTGAAAATCTCTATGTGATAGATTAAAAGGACTTCTTGAGCATAAGGGCAATTAAAAGCTATGATTTTTTTTTTTTTTTTGCGAAGGTGGCTTTTCATCCAGAGATAATTTCCCTTTATTACAGAGTAGAAGTCATATTTGTACTGAATACAATTTGCTTAAGACCACAAAGCTGATCTTTCCACACTAAAACAGCTTGCAGTCTATGAAGTGTTCTGGCATTCATAAGCTTATGCTGCTTTATATCTTCTGACCTTCAGCAGGGTTTTCTGGAAGAGGCTTAGAAACCTAGTATAATGGTTTGAAGTCAGTTGTATCTCACTGTGATTACATCAACACAGATAGTCAATATGTCCATGTTTATAACCAAACACATGTCCATTGCTTAAACTTGATGTTCCTGCTATCTTTGTGGCATATGGCATTAAGAGATGTATTTTAGGATAAACATATGTTTGGATCATGCAAAACAACAACAACTAGTAAAACAGAAATGTTCCACTTAGTGCTATAAGAGCCTAAGTTCCTTCTGAAGAACTGCAGGAAAGAGAAACCTTTACCAGCTCTATGTGTCTACTTAATGGAACAAATCCTCTGCAACCTAAATGGTCTTGCAAAAACCATATAGTAATAAATACTGACATCCAGGGAAAACATAGTTGAGCAATGTCAGGTTGCATGGCATCAGGAGCCCATAGTTTTTGAATGAGAATTGAATTTAGAAGACAAATGTATAGGATGTTGCTTACATGACAATACTTTTCCCATCCTTACTTTTGGTAGGCTCATTTCCTACTCAAAAATAAACATATATTGATTCTGTCTTCAGCAAATTCCTGTAAAGCCAAGGGGCTTGTTCACTTCTGCAGCTACCTCACAGGGTAAGGATACTCCTGCTGTCTTCTGCTTAAAGTGTTCTGCCTTTTAAGCAAACCCCAAAGTTTGTATGCTGCTTTAACATCAATGACAGTGTTGCTGGATAAAAGTTGGAAACAGATGCCATGTTGTGCTGGGATTCTGTTTTCCTCCAGTTAACTGTTTTCAATGCTAAGGATATTAAAAGCATACCAGAACGTAAAGTTTGTACATAAAAGTAGTACTTTCATCACACTAAATAATATGGTTGAGCAAGGTAGACAGGCTTTTGGGTGCAGAACCCTTCTAGAGGTCTAAAATTAAAGATTTCAAAGGTAATACAAAATGCAAACAATTATTCAATAATTTGTTTGCTTATCAGGCCATCTCTGAAGAAAAAGTCGAGGCTACCACTGGAGCAGAGGTGAGCCAAGGATTTTTTAACATCATCAGAAAGGAGAGGGGTGAAGGGACAGAGGAAGGGGCTTCAGTATTTTTGGAATGTGCAGCACGAGCAGTGGGGAGATGGGGATTATAATGACCTATAAAATCAGTTTCTCTGTTAAATCCTTAGTTTTACATAACCACTGGGATTATAAATTTTATAGGTTGTCTTTGGATAAACATTTTGTAGGTTTATCTTGAGGATCCGTTAAGTCCGAAATACTACAGCAGGAATAACAGCTTTATGAAGTGTGTTTCCGCAAGTTGTTTAATTTATTGATTGCACACAGTCACTCCACTGAGCGCTGCCTGTTTATTTTCACCCACACAGATATGGCAGAAACATCTGGTGCAAAGGACAGGGATTATTCCAGTCCAGGAAAGGAAAACGTGGAATCCAGTAATGCTCCGACTTAAAATACACCCACGTTCATTTAGACTCGTACACCGGCAGTGCAGGAAAATCATGATGTGTGGCAGAGCAGCGCACAGGGAGCGAAGTGCCCAGAAGGAGCCGCGCACCCCGCGGCCCCTCAGCTCCGGCCGCCGCTGCCGAGCGGCCCCTGCAGCGGGATCCAGCGACAGCACGTGGAGTAATGGCACACACACTGAAACAAGAGGGATTTGGGATTTTAGATACTAGGTATATGGAAGAAATTCTTTACTGTGAGGGTGGTGAGGCGCTGGAAGAGGTTGCCGAAGGAGTTTTTCCCCATGGATGGATGCCTCATCCCTGCCAGTGTTGGAAGCCAGGTTGGAAGGGGCTCTGAGCAGCCTGGTCTGGCGGGAGGTAGCCCTGCCCACCGCGGGGGTGTCGGATCTAGATGATCTTCAAAGTCCCTTCCCACTCTTTGACATTACATGGTTCTATGATTGTATGACCCTCCCGCCAGGGCACACCAGGCGTGAGGGGAGCCCGGAGAAACCCACAAAAGGGAGGGGCACAGTCCGCATTAGTTGAGTCACTTGGAACACCCGGCACGTGCAGCTCACAAAACCTTCACAAACAGAAGCCGGCGGGGGATCAACCCCTTCCCGCCCTCGCGGGTAGCCGGTGATGGACATCCCGCTGCTCCCGCCCCGGCCGCAGGGCGAGCAGGGTACGGACAGTGCCGGGGGAGCCCCCCTGGCAGCCGGCAAGGACAGCGGCGGCAGACCCAGCTCACAAACACTGCCCGCCCGCGCCGCTCGCGTTCCTCGGGCCCGCCCGCGCCACCCCCGCCCCGCGCACGCGCGGCCGCTCCACCGGGCGGGCGTAGACACGTGACCGGGGAGCGCGCTGGGCGGGGCCGCCCCGGCGGCGGCGCAGAGGGGAGGGAGAGGAGGCGGATCCATCATGGCGTCGATGCAGGTGAGGCGTCTGCGGCGGAGCCCCCGCGGCAGCGCTGGGGCCGGGCGGCGGTGGGGGGAGCCGGGAGCAGCCGTTCCGCCGGGCGCGTGCGTGCGTGCGTGCGTCCGTCCGTCCGTGCGTGGCGCAGCGCGGCGCGGCGGGGCTAGAAGAGCGGCGCGGAGGGAGGAACCGCCCGGGCAGAGCTGAGGGCGTCGAGCTCCGGGTAGCGGGGCCGGGGAGGGCAGGTGGCGCCAGGGAAGGGCCCGTCCGGCGCCGGGATGGAGGTGAGGGGTGAGGCCGGGACTCGGACGGCGGCGGGCGGGGCGGGAGCGGGGGGGGGGAGGCACCGGGCCCGGGGCGCGGGGGAAGAGGCGCCTCAGGGAGGCGTCTGGCAGCGATGCCGCCGCTCGAGGGCGAAGGGATCCCTGTCCCCCGGGAATTGGGGGGCCGCAGCTTCGCTGGGCGCCGTGGGAATGTGTATCACACTGTGCGGGGTGGGCGGTGCGCTGCGGGAGACCCTCCCCGTGGCATCGAGGGGACCGCGACCAACAGCTCCGAGTTCGTGGTGTTAGGGCACTGCAATTCCCCCGCTCAGGGGGGCTGGACAGGCGTGCCCCGCTCCAAGCCGCGTGTTGCCCGTGGGGTTCTCTTTCTCTCCGTAAAATGAGGTTGCGGTGCGGTGTCAGCCCTGTGGACAGGTAACGTCTGGCTCTCTCCGCCGGATGGGATTGCTGTAGGAACAGCAGCATGGAATATCCTGCTGCCTGACAGGTATTTCCAGCTGAATTATTTATTCATACCTACTCCGAAGGGGTTCTTAAATAGGGGCTGCAGAAATTGCTCGGGTGGAATGGATCACTTTCACTATATGCTGCTCTGAGTGGGTGGTGCTTTATTACGACAAGGGCAGAAGAAAAGATCTCTAGGTTTTGTGGCAGTGGACCCTGTCTCTCCTAATTTAACCAGCAACTACTTTTCTCTACTTCTCTACTTTTCCTTGAGCATTTGTAGTTTTCTATTTTGTTTTTGTATTTGGATCGTCTACATCTCTTCTCATTTTGTTCCAGTGTAGCTTGCATTTTTTGTCACTAGGAAGAGAACAGCACAGAAAGAGTGTGCAAAATAAATGAAATCTGTTTAATTTTCTAATAACCTGGAGAAAAATTAAAATGTCAAATTTTGAACTGTATGGGATAAAAATTGCTCTCCTGAAGATTAGAAGCATACTCCCTGTCTCCCCCCCCCCGCCCGTGTGTCTTTCAGAGTTACTGAAATGAAACGAGATCAAGAAATTGAACATACTGTACAGAATGTTCTTCTTTTAGCAGTAGTTTAGGCAGGTAGTCTGATCTGCCTTGGTTTTATTAGCTCTATCTGGTAAATGCGTTTTTGCAATGCTCTTCTTCTGATGTGCAGACTTTTACAAGCTCAACTGCAAAATAGAGACTACAGTTTATTAAGAAGTATCTTGTATAGAATGGTGTGAAAAATAGGGAAATGACAGCTGTGAACTGGGAAAGAGGCACTCTGTAAAGGGTCTTGGTAAAGCTGTGCTGTGTCGCTGTCTCTAGCCTAGTAAATGACCTCCTACAGCGTGCCTCACCCTAATTCCTGTTGCTCCCTCCGTAAAAGGGAAAAAGTGGTTACATATTAAATGAGGTTGTTGAGGATACTTGAATGACAAATGTTGCCTAAACGTCAGATGTGTGGAGGGTAATACTTGCTTCCTGAAATTACAGCTGTGTTAAGTGCAATGTTGTAATTGCTTTCATTTGAGAAATACCATCTGTGAGATGACACTTTTTGTTTTCTTACATGATGTTCTGTTGTCTTTTGATAAAAGATTCAAGGACATTTATGAAGGTTTTTTATCTAAATGCTGCTTAATTGCATTATATTGTAATTACTCTTTCCTATGTTTAGTAAACTACTCATTTAATAATGTAGTTTAGCATATTGGAAAGGAGTTGTAAACAGGAAGCATAAATGAAAATTTAGTAAGTGAACAGTAGAACTGGTAAGTTTATTGTAGACGTGCTCCCAGGTGAGCAATATTTCAAGACTCTGAATTCTATCAATTAACATTTAAGTGTTCAGTGTGAAAAAATGTTTTGCAAATGTTTTGCAAATGTTTTGGTATCTATAATTTTAAGGTGGTTTATTTTGTTCAGAATAATGTATCATAATCAGTGCCTGATTCTAAGTTGCCTGACAAAACAAAAAGATGTCCTTTTTCTGATGAAGTACAGTGTTTTTAAATACCCAGTGTTTACTTGAAATGTTTGTGTAACACATTGCCATCTCTGAGTCTACCAGTGGTCTGACACTGCACTATAATGACAATATTATTTATTTTATTGATAAAAATGATACCTTGGTGCACAAAGTTCTAGTTACTTCTTAAACTGCTGTATTTTTATACGACAGTGTATGATGCCCCAGATTAATTACATTTTATTTTTACAGATCCACTGAAAAGTCTCGGGTTAAATTACAAGAGTTATCTAATTAGCCTGTTCCTAGTCAGTCTACAGGGAAGTTTTGAAACTTGTACCAAATTGCCTCTTTTTGCTAATGGCTCTGAGCATCTGCCTGAATAGTTACTGTAGTTCAGTGGATGCACGGTAACTTGCAAAACTTGTGACTTTGAGCCTTTGTGTGTATCATTACACTTATAGTGATTTTTGCCTGTGTGGATAGTCTTTAATGGGAGTTTTCTTTAACCCTCTTTTCCTGCAATAATAGAAGCCAGTGCTTATGAGCTCTTGTATTTTGTTTTCTAACCACAGTGTTGTTGCTAATTTGACACTGCTGGACTGGTTTAAACCTGGTTTGCATATAGGCAAATCATTTTTTTTCTTAAAAAAAAGCTAACACACCCCCAGACAAGCCTTTAAAGAAGAGCTAATTTTCAAGAATTTTCCCAGAAAAAGCCCAAGCTTGTGCAATGTTCTCCTGGATAAAAACACAGAAATATTCTGAAAAGTAATGTAGAACAAGGGAATAGAACATATTTGCTTTAGAAAATTTTTATATAACATCTTTAGTAATCTGAAGCCTTTAAATGCAAATGCAAAAGAAATAGTAAGCAATAAACAGTTGTTCTCAGAATAGCTGGAAACACAGGACTTGTGTTATGAATGGAGCAGGTAAAAAATAGAGTAAAGAAGTTCAACTGAAAATGTACAGAAAATATGTCGTTGCTGTACAAAGTATTAAATAAAGCCTTTCCCTCAACATACGGATATGAATTATTTGTGTCATAAATTTGAAAGATTGACTTTATTGATGATGCTGACATATTAATTACTATGATTTACCTTCCACTTTCTTTTAGTTTTCATACTACAAACCCTGGATTTATTTGTGAAATTGTGGAAATATTTAGAGGAATGGTTTCAGGTTTTTTTATCACCAGAATAACTTCTCATATATTCTGTAAAGCTAGGCACATAAGATTTGTACATGTAGGTCTTTACATCTGATTGAAAGCAGAGCTGATGTAAAACAATTTCACTAAAGAGTGTAGGATGTTAGCTTTCACTGTGCTTCTGTTATGCCTCAAAAACCACTGTGCTGGGCTACCATCAAATTTCATGCACACGCCAAAATAAGGTGCTACTGAAAAATCTTGTTCCATTAATAGAATTTTTTTTTAATTGTGTGCCTAAGCAGCCATTGAATAAAATAACTGTGAGATGACAATGCAGAATTCATGGCCAGATTGAGATCCTAAGGAATTTGTATCACAGAATGCAAGCTAGTAGCAATGCAAAAACTTCGCGCAAGTTTCACCCCAATATTTTCAGTCAGTAGGTAGGGGATGAGGAAAATATTTACAGGCCACTGAAATCTCCAGAAAAAATACAAACACTCTTGGTTACACTTCTATTCTTTACCTGTGCTTCTAGTTTTAGAAGTTCTGTGTTTCCAGCTGTTCTCAGAACAATTACTTATTGCTCAATCTTTGCTCAACACTGGCAGAGATTTTATTTAATGATTTGGCAATACTTTTTTCTTATTTAAAAGCTTTGTCCAGGAAAAAGTATTAAACTGGTTTTTTTGGTGTGTTCCAAAAACAGCCAAAACCCCAAACTTAAGTGAGGAAAGCTTTCAGTCAATTGGAACTTGGATAGTTATGCACATTGGTTCTGTGCTGTTAAATGTCATAGTACAGGATGCTATTTGTGTTGTTTCAAAAAAGAAAAAAAAGAAAATGAGTGGGTGCTGTAGCTATACCATCAATTCTGGGATATAAACAGAATAAAATTATTGGTAATTAATGAAGTATTTAGTAGTTTCATTGGTGAAATGCTATTGAAGATGAAAATTTCAGTAATTATTTAAACAGAAATGCGAGTACAGTAGTTGAAACCAGAATGAATAGAGAGTTAAAATAATTTCTTCTGTCCACTAAGAGATTGTTAGTCCTTTACATAACCTTTGGTAATCAGTCTGTACTGATGTATACTGTATTAACTTTGGCATGCAACCATGCTAGAGTGAAGTAAGATAAATACAAAAGTTTTAGTGATTTTACCAAAATGAGTTAATTTAGTCTTGGGAGTTTATTAATAAAGCTTTGACTTGAATATCAGCTGAAGTTGAAAATTTATAGTCTTCATTCAGTAGAGAGAAATAAATAAAAGTTATGACTTTAGGCCCTAAGGAGTCTCATTTGCTTGTTTTTGTATCTGCCTGTGTAAACAGAATTTTGGGAAATACTTTGCTGTGCAGCAGCTGCAGAATTTTTGAGCTAGGATGGAAGAACTCACTTCCGAGAAGGAAAGCAGTAGTAGAAAAGCTTATTGAAACCAGTGTCCCCTGAGCACTGTCAGCAGCTCTTCATTACAAATAGCCCAGTTATACAGCTAAAATGTAAAAAAGGGTGGATGCTTTCAACTTGTCATATTGAACACTGGTATCTCATGAATATGGGTATGATTTCAGTCAGGAAAATAAAGTAGATAGGTATTTGTTGTACAAAAGAGTAATTCTGGTTGATTACAATTATTTTTTGCTCTGAGTTTTGTAGTATCTTATACTTGTGTCTAGGTCTAGCTATTCAAGTTCTGAGAAGAGAAAAATAGAACACAATACATTTGCAAGAGCCAGGGAATGTTGTCTTGTTAAGCTGCTCCCTTGGAAGGCTCTGTGAGTTTGTAATTAATAAGCTAAAGCAGCTTAGCTCAAACCATGTGCGAAACTCGGTGATCGAGTACTTTCTCTAATTGTTTGCTGCAATTCTACCGAGCTAAGAGTTTTAGACTAAAGGATCTTCACT